CCCCCCCCGCCCCCCCCCGACCCCCACAGTTCAACACCCTCTTAAAAAGTTCAAAATAAAAATATTTGTAAAATATAAACAGACAAATGTCTGGTCCATCTTTCCTCACATGAACCTCAGATTTGGTCACTGTCCCTTTAAACTTTATAACATGATCAAACATATGACAACAAGTGACTCCAGCTACTCCAGTCCCTGACCTTTAACCTGCAGCCAACAACAGAAAACAAAATGGAAAGACGTCTCTGGGGTCACCAGAAATGAGAGAGGGTCAAAATGAGGTCACATGACCAAAAAGGTGGTTGTGGTCCCTCTTCAGTCCAAGTGTTGAAACTGCAGTACTTACATACAGCTGCAGCTGGGTGGTGGTCGGCCCCGGGGCGGTCAGGGTCTCTCCCTTCTCACCGTCGGCATCCACCTTCGCCCTAGGGCGGGCGTAGGTGAAGGTCGTGCCCCCCGCCTGGTACTGGCCTGGAGGATCCACGGCCCAGCGTCCATTCACCACCGACGCCCCCGTGCCACTCCTCATGGCTGGGGTTAAAAAAAAAGGAAAAGAGGAAGATCATCATCATCATCATCATCATCATCACCATCATCATCATCACCGTGTTTGACATCTCCACTGATCTCCAGGTGATTCTTTAACTGAGAACACACTTGAAGTCAGACACACACACACACACACAGCCTGGAGTGTTGAACACACACACCTGGAAACACACACCACACCAGCTCTAACAATACAAGCTTTATCTATCCTACGACCGCTAACCACAGCACTACTTAATTCAGACCAGACCCACACACACACACACACACACACACACACGTGCACCGGTGGCCAAATCTAATTCATGAATTTACAGTTTCTCTGCCAACCAAGGCTTCAAAAAGAATCATTTCAGTCATTTAAACTGTCTGTGTGTGGAGCTGGGTATGTGTGTGTGTGTGTGTGGGATCCTGGTATAGCTTCACTTGTGGGGACAGTTTGTACCTGTGGGGACATTTTTAGGTCCCCACCAAGACAAAAGAGATTTTCTGTCCACAGCTTCAGTTTAGAATCAGTGTCAGGTCAGAATAAGGAGAAGGATTATGATGACACATGTATTTGTAAATGTTAAGGTTTGAAGCAAATGAGCTCATAATGTATATATTTGTATATGTATATATATTGTGCTCACAAAACACAAAAACCAGTATATGTGTGTGGTCTATATTTGTATCTATACTTGTGGGGAGATTTCTTTGTAAAATGTTTTGTCGTGGGAAACTTTTTAAAATAAGAATTAGTGTCAGATTATGGAAAGGATTAATATTAAGATTAAGCTTAAGGGGATGATGTTTGTGTCTAAGAGAAGTCCCCACAACTTGTGAAAACCAGACTGTGTGTGTGTGTGTGTGTGTGTGTGTGTGTGTACTGTACCGAGGTAGTTGGGACTCGCTCTCCTCTCTGTGATGTTGATAAAGGTCGCTCCAGCAGGGATGTCCAGGATCTTATGGTAACCCAGGGGAACCGTGACATTCTGGAAGCTTCCTGTCACTCTCCTACAGGAGCTCTCCCTCCCACCACACACTCCACACCTATCCGTCACAGTGCCGGAGTCCAGTATTCCATCACAGCCCTCGGTCTGATGGCAGAGTGGGGGAAAGTGACTTAGAGGATGCTGGGAAACGTGGTTTCAGAAGATCAGTGGAGAGAAGAAGGTGGGAGTGAAGAGAACCAGCACAGATTTGTTGACATTTCACTGATTTGATGCAAACGGGGAACTGCTGCTCACCGGATTCCTCCAGAAACCACAAGTCTATAATGAGGATGAAATCAGCGAGCATCGGAGAGCAAATAGGAGAAGGAGGGAAGGACGCAGCTAAAAGAGGCTCCGGGAAGGGTAATAAAAGTTCTAGAGACTTCCAATCTGCATGCCAGACTTAAATCAGCCTCCAGACGGGAGATTTACACCGCCACCTTCTGGATTTTGTCAACTCCAGACCAGACAGGAAAGTCACAGAAACCTGTCACATGTTCCATCCACTCACCAGACATCGGCCTTCCACGCACACGTCGTTGGCGCTGACATTGAAGCAGGGAGTCCCGTCTCTGACGCGCTCGGCCTGCTGCACGTAGAAGCGGTAGCTGGCGGGTCTGCAGGTCAGCTCGCACTGTTTGTCAGCACCGACTGTAACACAGAAGCAGAGCAGAGAAATATGACCGCACTACTACAAATATTATGTCTCTGTACGACGTTGGCGAGGTGTCCCGGGTGACTCCGTGAACTTCCACCGTGTGGCCGCCTGGCGAGGAGAAGACGCAGACGGGTGATGAATGTCTTACCATATGGTCAGGAAAGCAGACTCTATAACACACAACTGTCATACGCTGAGGGAGTGATTATCTATTTCCCCCTCGGCTGCTCAGTGGTGCAGTTCACCGCCTGCTGCAGCGTCCCATGAGGAACATACCCAGAAGTAGAGACGAAGGGTCGAAGAAGGTTGGATTTATGAGAGGAGCTCAACTGGCAGGGAGGGGAAAGGTTTGGAGCAAGAGAAAATGCTTCAAGGTTGGAAATTAAAGTCCATCAGTGGAGAAAAACAGACAGAGAAAAACAGACGGATATATATTTACCAGAGGAACTCATGTGCAAAGTTTAGGAAAACTTGACTGAAAGTCTGTTTCAAAAACTTTTGCTTAAAACAATTAGACTCTGATGCAATTTATTATCATAATACTGTAGAGTTGGAGCAGACATACCATAATAGTCCATTATAGACCAAGCTAACGTGATCTACCTACACTGAAAACATTAAATATATATTTACTTACACTTACTTATATAAACTGAACATAGATACACCTTATTTTCCGGACTATAAGTCGCTCCGGAGTATAAGTCTCACCAGTGTCCTCTAGCAGCTGTCAGTGTGAAAATAACAAACATTATGTGAAATTATATATTTTTAATATATCAGTCGCACCCGAGTCTTAAATCCAGACAAAGGATGAAAAAAAGTGCGACTTATAGTCCAGAAAGTACGATACTTACATAGACTGTAAGCTGTGACACAATATGATTAAATCTCTACAGACTGTCACTACTACACACAGGTTTGAGGTTTGAATCCAGAAGCTGCATTGTTATAGCATGGCACCAAATGTCGACCAAGTGGGTCTTCCGGGGTTGAGACCCGGTCCGAAGACCCGTCGACCAAGTTTCGACCAAATGTCGACCCAGTATCTTCCGGGGGAAGATACTTCGATGATCCGTCGACCAAGTTTCGACTAAATGTGGACCCAGTATCTTCCGGGGGAAGATACT